ATTGAGGCGGTATGGTTCCAAATCTGTGGTCAAATATCCTCGTTGTAGTCTTCGACGGCAATCGACGTATGCGGATGCTGAGGTGATTCTCCTTCTCATTTCTTTCTTTCTTCTGCTAGGGCCACTGAAATCTGGTTCTTAGGGTTCATCTGTTTAATTTCGTAAAAAGAACTTAAGGCAGGAATGTAACTTACAATTGCTTAAATTCATATTCAACCCTATAAATGAAGTTATTTATGGTTTTAATTCGATATAAATATGTTTTTGTTTGGGCATGAATGTTATAAATATGTTTTTGTTTGGGCATGAATGTTGGAAGGATTGATTTGTGTGAGATCCCACATCGTTTGGGGAGGATAACGAAACACCTAAAGGTGTGGAAACCTCTTCCTAACAAATGCGTTTTAAAAACTTTGAGGGGAAGTTCGAAAGGGAAAGCCCAAAGAGGACAATATCTGCGGTGGGCTTGAGCTGTTACAAATGATATCTGAGGCAGACACCGGGTGATGTGCCAGCAAAGGGCTGAGCCTCGAAGGGGGGTGGACATGAGGTGATGTGGGCTATGTGCTAGCGAAGAGGCTAAGCCCCAAAAGGGGTGGTGGGCTATGTGCTAGTGAAGAGGCTAAGCCCCAAAGGGGGTGGTGGGCTATGTGCCAACGAAGAGGCTAAGCTCCAAAGGGGGTGGTGGGCTATGTGCCAGCGAAGAGGCTAAGCTCCAAAGGGGGTGGATCTGGTGGAGGTCCCATATCGATTGGAGAAAGGAACAAGTGCTAGCGAGGACATTGGATCCCGAAGGGGGGTGGATTGTGAGATCCCACATCGGTTGGGGAAGAGAACGAAACGCTCTTTAGAAACCTCTCCCTAGTATGAGTTTTAAAAACTTGGAGGGAAAGCCCAAAGAGGACAATATCGGCTAGCAGTTGGCTTGGACCGTTACAATTTGTCTGCCCTATGAAATCCTTTTGCTCTCTTGTCTTCTCTTTTAGCTTGCTTCATTTGAATATTCAATGACATGAATGTAGGGCAGGAGGATCTATCACAGGTTCTTGCATTAGCAGGCATATGGTTGGTGTTCCTCGCACTTGGCTGTTCAGCATGTCTTGTTCCCTTAATCTGCACGGCTGACTTAGTTTTCAAGGATCCACTCAGTTTAGGACTTTCCTATAACACCCAAGGATCTGCATTTGAATTTCTTTCAGCTATAAATGCCATCCTCTTCATTGGATTCGGGTCTCTGATTGGCTACCCAATTGCTTCAGCTTCTGGTATAACTGTTGCTCGTTGATTTGCGATTCGATCGAAACCTTAGTAGAAGTTCAATTTTTCTTTTGGCTATTGCTGCAGTGGGAGTACTTCAGGGCTTATGGAGAAATGATTTGGTGGCACTGAGAGGAGCTTGCCCAAATTGTGGAGAAGAAGTATGTTGTTTTGAATGGCTTGTGAATCATTCCGTTATGTTTTTCTCCCCCCCATTGCCATAATTCATGAACGAATACTAGCTTCGTTGCGAGAACATATTTTTACGTGGTTAAATCATTTTCTCTTTTAGGTGTTTGCATTTGTGAGATCGGATCGTGCGAATGTCTCTCCTCATAGATCAGACTGTCATGTATGCGAATGCTTGTTGGAATTCCGTGTCAAGTTCGAGGTAATTTACTTCGCTTTTGTTTCAAACCACGCTAAAGCTGGAAACGATCATCATGCAATTATCTGTTTATACTTTTTCTGACCATTATCCCTTTCTCCTTAAGAGAGAGTGGAAAAGAGTTTCATACCTGAAATTTCTGGTCTTATACATGATTCGTATGCCCTGTAGATCATGCTCAGTACACATCATATGAAACTATTACCTCCAGGTTTTGGCTTGGCCTGTCTTAAGGTCTATATGAGCTTGAGGTTTCCTTCGTAACTCCCAGAACTTCTTCTTAGTGGCTCCGTTTCATGCTTCATTTCACAGAGAACCTCAAAGTGGCTCTATTTCATTATATTCCATTCATTTAATATCTCTGTGGTGTCATTAAGATAAGAGATGTCGTTTCTAGTCTTTCTGTTTCTGTTTCTATAGATGTGGAAAGTTAAAAAATTATCATATATATTATAATCCCGAAATTTCAATAGGAAAGAAAAGGGAGGTTTGTGATGATTTTAAAATTTTTTTATACTCGGTATCCTTATGCATGAAGATAATCAATAAGTTCATAATGGGATTGTTGGGGGCAAAAAAAAGAAAAATACTATTATGAAGAGACCGATGCTTAATCGGGGGTGGGTATTGTGCAGAAATCGAGTTCGAGACTAGGTCGACGATGGGTTTATGGGCGTATCTACCTTGTAAGAGGTAAAAGCAGGCAACAAAGATTGCTGTAGGAGCAACTTGTCTATATGTAGTGCCATGTCTTAATTTGCTTGCAATGAGGTCTTGTAGTTGTACCATTACAGACATAGCGCCTGCTAGGTGATTACAGTTCAAGTTAGCTGATGCCTGTAGTTTTGATAATCTAGCTAAGTTTATGAAAACCTTATCCCATGATGTCTATGGATCCAACAATTTAGCTAGTTTGAGCATCGACAAGTGACCGTTCTGATGCTGCAATTGAGTATTCACTTTGGTCGATTTCCTGTCCTTCATGCCAACTGATCCGGGATCGAAATTCTGGGGGCAAATTCGAGATACCCAGTGGAGAGTATGCTGAGAAGATGCCAAGGATTTTGAGAATTGTTGGAGTGTAACCATGTCCAAGTCTAAAAGATATGCTCATGAAGGAGGTCGTATGACGTCTTGGGCAAGTACGTGCATATTAGGTGACCGAAGAGACTATGTTAGAAGCCCCCCACGAGATGAACACCAAGCTAGACATGCTCAATCGAGCTTAAATGAAATTTATGCTCAAAGTCAATAGGAATTGTCACTTTTCATTTACTATAAAGTAGTGTTGTAATTTCGATGTGAAATTTCTTTTTTAAGCTTTATGCTTTCTTTGTATTATTGTGTTTACATGGTTTTAGAATTGTCTGGTTTGATCGATTAGATTTCGTAGAGTTTAAAATCTTAAAAAATGGCTCGACCCAAATAACACGAACCACCTAACTCAAATTGGGGATTGGATTGGATTGGGTTGAGCGAAAATTTTAAAAAATAAAAAATTCAGTTTGGTTGGTGGGTTAAAACTGTTAACCTGACTAACTTGAAAATATAGGGTTGTAAAATAGGGTTTACAACCCAATCCTACCTTATTTTAAAATTTGTTATGAATATTAAAAATATTTAGCGTGCGTTGTGACTTATTAATATGACATGTTTTAATTATTAATATGACATGAATCGTGGAGTTGTTTTTATTATTGTTGTATGAGTTCATAAAAGTGATTGTTTTTTTGTCTTTTCAAAAAAGGTAAATGAACCTTGTTTCCTTTAATTTTTTTCACAATCATCTCGGTTCAAATTTGATGATTTTGACACGAATGATTGGTAGTCAACACATGAAAATGATTTCGCTTTCAACGACTTTTTGTTCGTGATTTAGGGTAGTTTTGAAAAACTATTTTGTCTTTCTAATATCAAAAATATATGAGCTTAAACTAGAAAAAAAAAATTGAGTAAGATTTTTCAACATTATTGTGAGAATCTTAAAAAAAAAATTGAATTAAATTAAAAAAATTTAATAAATAAAAAAATACAATATATATTATAAACTTAATATTTAAGTAAATCACATTTTGAATAATATTTTAGATTAGAATCTGCCCTTCAAAATTTGATAAATCATTTAAATGATTATCGAATAATATCTTTTTATGGCATTGGCCCCATGACACCACAGTTGAGGTGGAAAAGGCTGTAATTAAAAAGGTTGTGGTATGAAAGTGGGCATTAGATGCTATGGGATGGAATCCAAATGCCAAGCAATACTCTTCTCAATCATGCACATGTTTGGCTCAAACCATGTTTGGTGCACATGCCCACCCTTCAATATTCTATTCATTCTTTTCAACCCCTCGTTTTTATACTTCTATAATGATCAAAACGAGTAGTTAAAAGACCTCGTTTTTATACTTCTATACTTCTATAGAGCTGTGGAAATTAACGTTGGATGAACGTGTTTAGATATGATGCATTTTCTCTTTTTCTTTGTTTTACTTCAACTCCTATTGTTTGTCACATATGTTGTGAAAACCCACATTGTTTTAAAGCTTAGGCCAAAACAAACAATATTTGCTAGCGGTGGGATTGAGTTGTTACAAATGGTATAAGAGCTAGATGCCGAACAATGTGCCAGTGAGGATGTTGGGCCCTTAAGAGAGGTGGATTGTGAGATCCTGCCTTGGTTGCAGTGGAGAATGAAACATTTCTTATAAAATAAAAGTGTGGAAACCTCTCTCTAGTAGACGCGTTTTAGAACAGTGAGGTTAATGGCAATACGTAATGGGCCAAAGCGGACAATATTTGTTAACGGTGGGCTTGGGCTATTACAGATGGTATTAGAGCCAGATACCAGGCGGTGTGCCAGGGAAAACGCTAGGCCCTAAGGGGAGTGGATTGTGAGATTCCACATTGGTTAGAGAGGGGAACAAATTCTTCCTTATAGTGGCGTGGAAACTACTCCCTAGTAGACGTGTTTTAAAAAGTCGTGAGGCTCAAGACGATACGTAACGGATCAAAGCGAACAATATCTGCGAATGGTGGGCTTGAGCTGTTACAAATGGTATCAAAGCCAAACACCGAATGTTATGCCAGCCCCGATGATGCTGATCCCCAAGGGAGTGGACACATTTTAAAATCACGAGGATGCTAATGACGATACGTAACAAACTAATAAATCACTCTTAGTAGAATGTTGTCTCGATTCATTTATGTATATATCTTGGTATTTTGAGGACGGGGCAAAAGTGTAATAAAATGGACTTTGCTGAAAGCCGCGTGGACGGCATTGGAGGGCCAGCGGAGGCAACCAGTTGAAAGAGAAGACAAAGAGAGCAGCAGTCATCATTTTCTGGTAATTTTCCCTAATATTGACTCCAATTCTACACGCCAATTCGTTTAATTAGCATTCGCAAACGCCATTAAACCGCCAATCCATTTCCAAATTTCCCCCTTTTTCTCAATCGGAGATCTATCTCTTCCGCCCTTCTCCGATCCCAATTTTCCTCTCTAAACCCATTTCTTCTTCCTGATCATTAAACCCTAATTCCCTTTTTTCAATCTCTTCTTCTGGGATTTGATTGTTTTGCAGGCGTTTCTGATTTGCAGAAGAAGTAGTGTGTTTATTCTAAGTGGGAACAACTATGGGTACCCACGAGAAGAACGACAGTAAGGGCGGCTTCTTTGCTGCCATGACTTCTGGAATCTCCAAGCTTAGCAATGCCATGCACCGATCTGTCAATGGGTACTTTGATTTTCGTACTTCTGACATTGGTATCCACTTTTTTGGGGGTTTTTCAAGCTGTTCTTGGTTCTATTGCTGTTTTTGTTTGAATTATTTGCTCTAATGTTTTCTTGTCGGGCTGATTTGTACACAACCTTAGATTTCTACAAAACCTGTTTCATTTTCCTTTTTGTAGAATTGTTTCATCGGCGTTGTTTTGAACTAGTTCTTGCTTATTGAAGTTCTACTTTTGTATGAGCTTGATCTCCTACGGATCCCTAGTTGAGATTTTGAAAGGATCAGTAAAGTTTCTTTTCTGCTGAATATCTGCATACTGTGAGTTTTAGTTTCTTGATAAGAAAATAGGATGTAGATAAGCACGTCACTTCAATTCATGACAGTGTTCTTGAGCTCATAACTAGGAGAAATGTTTTCCAGAGCCATTGAAACCAGATGGCTTGTCTCATTTTCCAATATTATCGTTTCAAGCCTGAATCGTGTCGTGGTTACTGCACTTCTTGTGTTTTGTCTGGTGTCTTAGAATCTCTGGAAGCGTTTTTTGTTGCATAAGATAGCTTCATATATGTGGATTCAAATGCTTAGGGGTTAGAGTTTACATGTGGTGTAAAACGGTTCGTTTGCCTGGAGAATTTTCGTTGGAGTACTCATCAGAGCTTTGTTTTCTCCCGTTTTGTTAGCTGAACTCGAAGTTATGAAACCGTTATAATTAATACAAAGGTTGTATCAATGTTACGAGTTTAACTCGTGATTACCATGCGTCTCTTTGCCCTCAGGTTTCTTGGTTATGAAGGGGTAGAAGTTATAAATCCTGAAGGAGGTAAAGAAGATGCAGAAGAGGAAGCTCACAAAGGAAGATGGAAACAAGAGGTTCTTCTCATTTATGTTCTTACCTCTTATCTTTGCTTGGTTTGTATCTAGTTTTCCCTTTTTCATCTTACAAACTAATTAATTGTGAGATCCCACATCGGTTGGAGAGGGGAACGAAACATTCCTTATAAGGGTGTGAAAGCTTCTTCCTAGTAGACGCGTTTTAAAACCCTTGAGGGGAAGCCCGGAAGGGAAATCCCAAAGAGGACAATATCTGTTAACAGTGGGTTTGTGCCGTTACAAATGGTATCAGAGTCAGTCACTAGACAGTGCGAGACACTAGTCGGAGTAGGGTTAGACCCTCTCCATAGTAGACGCGTCTTAAAACCTTGAGGGGAAGCCCAAAAGGGAAGGGCTAAAGAGGACAATATCTCCTAGTGGTGAACTTGAACTGTTACAAATGGTATTAGAGCCAGACACCGGGTGGTGTGCCAGCGAGGACGTTGACTCCCAAGGGGGGTGGATTGTGAGATCGCACATTGATTGGAGAGGAGAATGAAACATTCCTTATAAAGGTGTGGAAGCCTCTCCCTAGTAGACGCGTTTTAAAAACCTTGAGAGGAAGCCCAGAAAGGAAAGCTCAAAGAGGACAATATTTGCTAGCGATGGGCTTAAGTCATTACATTAGTGCTTAGTGGGGAAGTCAACGATGTAAGACGATTCAGTCAAGAGGAGAAAATAAGGACATAATACGATTTGGTCAAGGGCTGATCTTTCTCTGTGAAGTTAGGCTCGGGTTCCTGCAAACCCAGTACACAAAACAGAAATGTTTCTTATTTACTCTACCGCGAGTGTGGAAGGCTCTTTCTTCACTTTTGGAAGCGAGGAGTTTTGCCTTCTATTCTTCTTCCTCTTGTATGTTTCCATAAAATTATTAAAAAGCTTTTTCGGGTAACAGGATCGTGAAAGTTACTGGAAGATGATGCACAAGTATATTGGTTCGGATGTCACATCAATGGTCACTCTTCCTGTAATCATTTTTGAACCTATGACAATGCTTCAGAAAATGGCCGAGGTTCGTTTCTCTTTTGGTATTATTTTTATTTACTCGTTCGAACTTTTTCCTTTGTATCATGACGCTAATAGTTGAATATTTACTCTACAGTTAATGGAATACTCCCACTTGTTGGATCTGGCGGATGAATGTGAGGATCCTTATATGCGGTTAGTGTATGCGTGTAAGTACGAGAATCTTAGTCTTGCTTAAAGGCCGATTGAGGCGTTTTTTCTTGTTGAAGATGAAGTTGTTTCTTTCACTTGTTACAGCATCATGGGCTATATCAGTGTATTATGCTTTTCAAAGGACTTGGAAGCCTTTTAATCCTATCCTTGGAGAGACTTATGAATTTACTAATCATAATGGGGTCTCATTTCTTTCAGAGCAGGTGAATTTCAAAGATCTTTTTTCTCTTCTTCTTCATGTTCTAATTTGATCCCTTTTTTATGTATAATATTATGCCGAACAATGTTTTCAGGTGAGCCATCATCCCCCAATGAGTGCCGGGCATGCCGAAAACGAGCACTTTATTTATGATGTAACTTCTAAGTTGAAAACTAAGTTTTTAGGGAACTCGTTGGATGTCTATCCCGTGGGAAGGTAAACTTCTACTTTCCACTCTCTTTCTATCCCCTTCAGCTCATTGCTTATCGATCTCGCTCCGAAACGTCAAGGGAGCAAGTTATAACTTATAAACTAACATACCCTTGAGATCATAGGTTCGAACTTTGATTCACTTGCTTCAACTGCATATTGTATTCGTTCTGTGATGCAAATTGTTATAGAATTAAATGGTTTTGCATACAATCTGTTGAGATGCACACACCCGAAAGTTCGATATTAGCCGCTTTCATCGGCAATCACTGTCAAGTCGATATTTACTTGGAAATTTTGACATTTCTTTTCGCTTTGTCCGATTCATAGCTTTTGCAGTCCAATTGCCATCAGTAATAGCTTTGTTTATTTTGTTTGATAATGCTAGATTAAGCGATAATGATGATATCGTTTCGGCCTTTGCAGAACACGGGTGACTTTAAAACGAGATGGTGTGGTATTAGAGTTGGTGCCACCGCTCACTAAAGTTAACAACTTGATATTTGGAAGGACATGGGTTGATTCACCGGGAGAGATGATAATGACCAATTTAACAACGGGTGATAAAGTTGTGCTATATTTTCAACCATGCGGATGGTTTGGGTATGAATCTCTTCATATGAATTCTGTACTAATGGCGATCCTTATAGCTACATAGCGTTATAATTGAAAAAATAGCATTAATTTGTGTTTGATTCTGAGAGATCTGGCTGCTGTTACTGTGTTCTTAGTTTATGGTTTACCTTATCCATTCTTTATCCATTTTTGTAACAGACCGGTCGCTAGCAGATATTGTCCTCTTTGGATTTTTCCTTTCAGGCTTGCCCTCAGGGTTTTTAAAACGCGTCTGCTAGGGAGAGGTTTCCACACCCTTATAAAGAATGTTTCGGTCTCCTCTCTAACTGATGTGAGATCTCACAATCCACTCTCTTGATATTGTCCTCTTTGGGCTTTTGGGCTTCCCCTCAAGGTTTTTAAAACGCGTTTGCTAGAGAAAGGTTTTCACACCCTTCTAAAGAATGTTTCGGTCTCCTCTCTAACAGATGTGGGATCTCACAGTCCACTCCCCTTCGGGGCCAGCGTTCTCGCTGGCACTTGTTCCTCTCTCCAATCGATGTGGGATCCTACTCCACCCCCTATAAAGAATGCTCCCGTCCTCTCTATAACTCTTTATAACTGATATGGGATCTCACACGTCTGCTCTCTTCCTTCAAATTTCCTCTCATATAGATAACTACTAATGTTTTGTTTAAAGTAATTCTAGAATGGTAGACGAGATACATTGTTTACGTTTTTTTGTCCAAATTTATGTACTTTCCATCTTACCGTTAACTGTTATGATTTCATTTAAAATTATTTCAACGGAGTGAGATCTCGATCGTATAGGTAGAAACTAATTGATGTCACTTTCCATCTTACCATTAACCGTTATTTTTTATCACAGTGCTGGTCGTTACGAAGTGGACGGTTATGTTTATAATACGGCGGAGGAACCTAAAATCTTGATGACAGGGAAATGGAATGAATCCATGAGTTACCAACCTTGTGATATGGAAGGGGAGCCTCTTCCGAACACTGAACTGAAAGAGGTAATATTTGTTGTTGAATATAGGAGTGTATTGATCCTTGTGGGTTGTTTCCGTTATCTAAGCGTATCTTTTGTGTCGTACCGTACCGTTTTTGGTCTTCGTTCTGTAGGTTTGGCACGTGGCTAAAACACCCGAAAACGACAAATTTCAGTATACACATTTTGCACATAAGATCAATAGTTTCGATACCGCCCCTAAGAAGTTGTTGGCATCGGACTCCCGGTTGCGCCCTGATAGGTACGCTTTAGAGAAGGGCGATCTATCGAAAGCAGGGTCGGAAAAGAGCAGGTTCGTTCCTCAAATCTTTCCAATCCTTTCTTAAAGCTGCAATCAATACAGATTCATATGTTTTTCTTGTATGGTCAGTTTGGAAGAGAGGCAAAGAGCTGAAAAGCGAACTCGAGAGGCAAAAGGACAGAGTTTCGTGCCGAGATGGTTTGATCTAACCGAAGAGGTTACATCAACTCCGTGGGGCGACTTGGAAATTTACCAATACAACGGTTTATACGCCAAACATCGAGCTGACATCGATAGTTCTGGTTCAAGCAGCAACGACGAGGTTGACGTTAAATCGATCGAATTCAACCCGTGGCAATACGGAAACTTGTGAACACAGTAAGGGCTGTCCTCTATGTGTTATTCACTTGGATTCTTCAGTTTAGTTGGTAAGATTTTTCAGGCATTTGATATCATAGTCGTCTGTTGATTGTTTATATACATAGAGCTCTTACATTTTGTAACTTTGTTATCAATCTTTGCAATCCTACAACTTTCTACCAATGTTTTGTTGTTGGTGTTATAACTCATAATTTATGTGCTTTGGCTTTAGAATGATTGATTACAAGTGATACAACTTTGATCCATCAGGATTCTTATTATAACGGCCGAACGATCGAGAGAATTTTTAACCAAGTATAAGTACCTCTTAAGTATTCCCGGAGGAATTACTCTGATAAAGTCATTTTCTGCCCATTATGTATTGTCGTCAGTTTCATGATTTTAAAATGTGTTTATTATAAGGAATGCTTCGTTCTTCTCTCCGACCGATGTGAGATCTCACAGTTCACTCCTTTGACGCTCAGTGTCCTCGTTGGCACACTGGTCGGTATCTAGCTCTAATACTATTTGTAATAGCCCAAGCTCACTGTTAGTAGATATTGTTCACTTTGACTCGTTATACATCGTTGTTAGTATCATGATTTTAAAACGCGTCTACTAAAGAGAGATTTTCACACATTTAACAGGAATGTTCCATTTTTCAATAGATATGGGATCTCATATGGAAGTTTTGTTTTTGAAAAATACTCGTACTTGAGTAGATATGGCATTCATTATCATTTAATTGGTCAATGGTTTGATAGTACTTTTGATCGTGATTGAACTTATAAAAAAAAAAAAAAAAATTATCTCAAACTCGAAATAAGTGATGTCGAGAAAGTGCCTATAACCTCTGATATTTGAATTAGGACATCAAATATTAATATTGTTTTTAACTTGATATAATTGTTTTTCAATTTATTGATGAAAATAAAATTAATATTTTTTATATGCAAAATTAAACCTTATTGTAAAAATTTAATCTAAAATCTTTGTTATTATATTAATTAATTAATATGGTAGATTACATCTATGGAACTAAGATTTAAAATGTTTTATAATCTAAACAAATACACGTTAAATATATTTTTTAATTATAAAAAAAGTTTTCTAAGAATTTAAAATTCAGAATAATATAAATTCATTTTTTTAATAGAATTATGATATAATTTTAAAATTTTAAAATTTTTATATGGCAGTATAATTCACTTTTTTAGAAACCATAGTCTTATTCTTAAAAAAAAATTATAAAATAAATGATTAAACTATTTATTTACAAAATTTTGATAGCCAAATATAGGTGATTGGGTTTAGGTAAGTCGGGCCCGCCCATAGTTTTAAGATGAAGCGGGGCTTACCCGACAAAAAAAATAAGTTATATTTATGATATTGACATATTAATCTTATAAATATCTCGAAAAAATTAACCATATTACATTATTTAATAATTAAATCTCTAATTCATTACTTATTTTATTATTCACATATATATATATATATATATATATATATTCTAGCTAGCGTCAAAGTTACTTCCATTCTATCTCTTATTCAATGGATTGATGGGAATGGAATCTAATATTTATCACTTCCAAAATAAATAAATAAATAAATGAAAACTCAAATATTCCATCTTTACAATTAATTGCTTTCCATATTTGGAATTCAATTCATGTGCATTTTCATTTCATTTGGATGAATTTTACGTTTGAAACAAAATAAATTTAATCGTTCTTTCATTTTTAAATTTTTTTTTTTCTTTTCAATATACTTTTATTTGTTTTATAAAAAATAAAATCAAGAAATAGCTAGTTACCGACCGTGGTGGTAGTAGTGGTCATGGAGGATGGCATCGATGATAATGGACGGTGGTTATATATATACACACGTACATATACATTAAAGTTAAATATATATAATTGAATGGTTATATATATATAAATGTATAAATATTCAAATTTTCAATCTCAAGTTGTCAAATAGATAAATCACGTGACTTTGAGTATACAAATATTAACATTGTGATCTAGACATGTAAACGGGTTGAACGACACTACTTTTTCTTTTAGCTTTGAGTGTTGGGTTCGGTGATCACTAATTTGAAATGATTTAGTTTTTAATATATTTTTTAAAAATAAAAAATAAATATAGATAATATAATAAGTGAGTTTAGGACGGGTGGAAAATATTTTTTATAAGAGTGAAATACAAAATTTTTTAAATATAATATTTGTGTCAAGCACCCCCACCGTCGATTTACGATTTTGGGAGACGATTTTAGGTTTTAACGTAACCCAGTGGTAGGTGACAGGTAAAGCAAAGTCACTGCATTACAGCCACGTGTCGCGACAAACACCTAAATGTGTTGGTTGGTGATTTTATTTTTGTCATTTGTTTTCTCTTCTTTCATGGCCCTGAAACGACACCGAAAATGTTTTTTTTTTTTTTTTTTTTTTTTTTTT